TGTGGGGAGAGGGAATGGGAAAGGGGGGATTTGGAGCCCCATAGATGGCCTGGACCACAGTGGGGGGATGCCGTGGGGCTGGACAGTAGCAGGGGGAGGCTGCAGGGCTGGAGAGCAGCAGGGGGGATGCCGTGGGGCTGGATGGGAGCAGAGGGAGGCCTGGATGGCAGAGGGGAGGCGAACCACGGCAAAGGGATGCCGTGGGGCAGGATGCTCATCAGGGGCTACTGTGGGGAGACACCGTGGGGCTGGACGGCTGTGGGGGTGGTGCCGTGGGGCCATACCACGGCAGAGCAATGCCGTGGGGCTGGATGGTCACTAGGGGCTGTGGGGCTGGAATGCTGTGGGGCTGGATGGCAGCAGAGGAGGGCCGTGGGGCGATGCTGTGGGTCCAGGCTCAGTCCGAGTAGATGATGAAGCCGGAGAAGGTGCTGTACTTGTTGTTGTTGCCGCCGTGGGCTTTGCCCCCATCCAGCTTGATGAAGACCTCATCCCCCGCGTCCAGGTGCAGGATGACGCTGTTGCTGGCGTAGTCATAGTTCTGGTCGGCGTCCTGCGCGATGGCGCTGGCCCGCACCTGCGCAGGGGACACCCGCGTTACCTGGTTCAGGGGACAGCTCAGCCCTCGGGTCCTGTGGGACACCCGGGGTCCCAGCTCACCCGCAGCCAGGGAGACCACCCACCAGCTCCAGGGTAGCGTGGGGTGCCCTGGGTCCCCACCCATGGGTGAACGGGTCCCGGATGGAGGTGGCTTCTTCAAGCACCACCCAGAGCGTGTCCCTGACCTGGTAGGCTCAGACGTGGGACCACACCTCAGATGTGGGACCATGGCTCTGGGTTTGGATGTGGGACCACAGGTTCAGGTTCAGATTTGGGACCAAGGCTGAGATGTGTGACTATGGTTCTGGGTTTGGATGTGGGACCATGATATGGGCATGGGACCACGGCATGGACATGGGACCACGGCATGGACACGGGACCACGGTTCCGGATTTGGATGCAGGACCACGTCTCAGACACGGGACCCCATCTCTGGATTCAGATGCACAACCACAGCTCATACACGGGACCCCAACTCTGGGTTTGGACGCAGGACCACAGCTCGGACACAGGACCCCAGCTTCAGATTTGGATGCAGAACCATGGCTCAGACATGGAACCATGGCTTCAGATTCAGACACGGGACCACAGCTCAGACACAGGACCCCAGATCCAGATTTGGATGTGGGATCACAGCTCCAACATGGGATCCCAAGTCTGGGTTTGGATGCAGGACCACGGCTCAGATGTGGGACCTCATCTCTGGCTTTGGATATGGGACCACGGCTCAGACACTGGACCATGAGTCAGTTCAGATGCAGGACTACAGCTCAGACACGGGATCCCAAGTCCAGATTCAGATGCAGGACCCTGACTTAGACCTGGGACCCCAGCTCTGGATTCATACGGAGGACCACGGCTCAGATCCAGGACCCCGACTCCAGATTCTCAGACACGGGACCCCATCTCCCAGCCCAGCCCCAAACCAACTTGATGAACTCCCCACATCTTCCCATGAGCTTCACTGGGACCATGAGGGCTGAGCCGGCGGAGCTCAAATTCCCCCAAAACACATCTCGCTGCTCACCCTGATCCCAACCCACTGCAGGTCGGGATGCTCCTTCCACCCTGATAAATATTTCCTCGGTGCCAGAGGACAAGGCCGGGAGGTGCCGGCAGTGCCAGTGGTGCCGTAACTGCCTGGTAAAGAATCTCCGTGGCTGGAGCCCATGGCTGCTGCCGAATTATTGGGGTAATCAAATTTACGCCGGCGCCTTGCAGGGGGATCGCGCGGCGCTGGGTGACAGTGACAAGCCGGCAGGTAAAATCCCAAGTGAAATGCAAAAGCGATGCACTGGAGAGAAGATGCTCCTAATTATAACCAATGAGAATGGGCTCTTAATTGGCTGCACCGGGCGGAGAGACACCGCTGAGCGGCTGCAGGGTCCCAGAGCTGGCATGGGAAGGAGGGGGGTGTCCCCATGGATTGCTGTCCTTTTCCCCCAGGACAGAGGTCCCAGGGGTCCTGTCCTCCTCGGGAAACACAGCAGCGTCTTCTCAAGTCCATAGACAGCCTGCGATGGTGTGGTAATTCACTGGTCAGATGCTGTTAACTCTGGAACCTACTGACGGCCCAGCAGGTGGGCCCATAGGGTTTGCTTTCACCCACGAAGCCATAGCCCTTGTGCCATCACCAACACTGTCACCCCGTTAAAAGTCACCCACTGTCTACCCCACCACCACGAGGGTCCCCATCTCTGAGGGGGGCACACCGAGAATCTCAGCTGGTCACAGCATCCCAGGCTCTGGGGGATGCAGCCTCGACTGGGGTCGTGCTGAGGAAGAGGAGTTGGGGAAGAAGCAAGGGGGAAGGAAAACCAGGAAAAGCCGTTTGGTGCTGAGCTCTGCTGCCACTATTCCCCCCTCCCTGCCGCAGCCAGAGCCGCCCGGTGCCATCCGTCTTCCCTCGTTAAGGAGCCGCCTTGTCACCATGCGCCCGCCAGCCCTTCACGCTAACCAGGGAAGATAAATGGCAGCGCCAGGGCCGGGCTGAGCCGCTCCCGGCACCGCGGTGGCGGAGGAGGTGGGGGCTGCCACCACATCCCTCCCCCCAGTGGCCTCGTCCCCCTCGTCCTGCTCCGTGCCTCAGTTTCCCCATGCCC